AACTGTTACTATTGATAGGGAACAATATTTAAAGCTGTATTCCAAATTAGTCTTTGTGTTTTGAAACCTTTCCTTAACTTCCTGAAGTGTACATTTGTAGGACTAGTGCCCCTCTGGCAGATCTACCATTGCATGGTTGTGATGCCTCATTAATTTACCAGATGCATCAGAGGACATTTATAAATGACCACTTTTCTTATAAAAGCATGTAACCTGCTTAAAACTGAGCTTGTCTTCTGAAAGGTTACACCACAGTCATAATTTAGGTAGTAATGCTAAGATGATCTTTAAATTAGTATCAACATTTTTTGGCTCATTGCCTTCTGTGTTGGGTGTATTCCTTGTTAAAAAGCAGATGTGAATTGTTAGACACTGGAATTTGAGCCAATTCTAATGTTGATCAGCAGAAGAATATGGAAATGCAGTAGCGTTTCCTGTCTCTTGYGCTCTTACTCATGAAATGAAGGAATATGCCTGCTTTATTGTGAAGCTTATTGGTTATAATAGTTGTAATGGAAGTGGATGTGCCCTCAAAACTGAAAACCACTTGCTGCTGGTTGTGGGTAAAAGGAAGTGTGGAGAAGCTGGTGATTGTTGGAAGACAGGAGAACACATTTAAAGAGAGAACAGATGCCTGATTTTAAATCCACTCTGAAAGTAGTAAACACAAGCCATTAATATTTTGAAGTGTCTTACTTGGAGCACCAGGTATGGCAGCTTAAAAAATAAATTACAAGGAAGTTGAAAGAGACTTTATTTTATTTGAAGATATTCTGTATTGCTTAGGACTGCTCATTTTTATAAATTGGCTGTTATATGGGAATTTAGATAGTGCTGCAATACTTGATGTCTATGCCAGCACTAAAACTGGAACAATCTTGTTAATATATTTAATGACTTGCACTGAGAATGCCGTATGCTCTTTTGTATGTTTGAACCTCTCATCTTGGATAGGAAGCTTCTTTTTCTGCAGAAATGCCTGAAAAACCAAAGCTTCTGCTCTGAACTGGAAATTGATGTAAAATTTCATTTTTGGGCAGACACTGGTGCTTTTGTGAACTTCACCCTTTGGACTGTGGAAAACTAAACTTGTTCAGTCAAACAGCGCTCAGYACCAGTGTAAAGGGGAAGCTTTGGCAGCACTGAACTTTCAGRGTGGAAGGAAATAGTCAAAACAGCTATGTGAGGGTATTGCTAGCTTTGGTAAAGTGTTTTCCTCTGAAAACAGTTAATGCTTCCCACTGCCTCCAGTATAATCTTCTAATATTGAATACTCTTTTTGGCATAGTTCACTTGCATTTTAAAAGGATAATTCATTTTAAAGATAATGAAATAAACAGAACTGTCAACATTTTAATAACAAGAAAAATTTACAGTTATTATTACATTTCAAGGTAACCTTCCCCTYCCCCYCCCCCCCCCCCCCCCCCCCCCCCCCCCCCCTCACTTCAAGAGTGCAGGTGAAAGCTATTTGATTATTATCTTGGATGCTGTTTTCATTTTGGCCAGCAATCACAGCAGGGTATTATGAGGGGAAAAGAGGAAAACAGTTACCTTGAATTCTTGGAACACTCAAAAGCAGAAATGRAATTCCTAGAATAACCCTCCAAATGTTAGCAATCCTGTTTAGATAAGCCACTTATGTGTTTTTAATACAAATTTGAAAGCAAGTGTGTCCCTGTGTCAGGCTATTAACAACATGACCTTGCTGCCATGCTCTGAAAGCTTTTTCTTCCTGGTACCCAGTTATAACAAGCTAATGCACAAAAGATGTTCAGAGAATGCATTGTGAGCCTTTCACTTTTGTTTGGGAGGTGCAAGTTAAAGTCACCGTACCCTGAGGTTTGTATTTCTGGAAAATTTTCCTATGAGAGCTTGCCGATTGCTGGAGGATTTTTCATTACCTGAAGGAGCTAAGTTGAAAAATACTGACCTTTAAAATACGATGTTATTCTCCAGTTTTCATTTCTGTTTATGYGTTTTTTTGGTTTKTTTTTTTTTCACAGGAGTTGTGGAAGTGTCGGTCCGAAGTCCTCTGGCCTGCTGGTTTAGTGCAATGCTTTATTGCTTTGGTGGCTCAGTTTTGTCTTCATTGATACTTGGTGAACCTCCAGTAGAATTTCTGGCAAAGACTATAAATATTCTACTGGCATCCTCAGTCTGGTAAGCAGCCACAGTTGGGTAAGATGAGTAATATTGGCTGTAAGGAAGCTATGTGCTGTAAAGTGATACTATACCATCAAGGGTCCATGTGAATCAGAATTTTGACTTAGAGGTGGTGTGGATTTGGATGTTGTCTCTTCATCCAGAGTGTCACAGCAGCTGTTGTGATCCTGTTCTGTGGGAATAGAGGGCAACTCTTATGGTCCAATATGGTTGTAAAATAAAATGCTTTCTTGCTAGACTAGACTTGCCTTAGGTTTTTATAGTATTCCTGGTTTTTTTAGTATTCAGCTATATATAGCTGAAAACATTAGTTTTTAATAAATTGAATTCAGTTGCTGATTTGCTGAACATAGGTAAGTTATAAACACAGTCTAAGCTTTTCAAAAGTAACTTTTGAAGACCAGGTGTAAAAATTTTGGACTTTTCTRTAACTGGGGTTCCAAGACAGATCTTTCCTCCAGTTTCTACTATCAGACACATACTTTTTTTTCTGTATTTCATTCCTTCCCATATGGGTGGATGTTGTGATGGAAGACAGCAGTGAGCTGGGGGRTGTGATTGAATCAAGTATGTGGCAATTTGGCCTGTTTTGGAGTTAAAAAAAAAACCGCTGGTGTTATTTTGATATAACCGTGGCCTTCCAGTGAAGTTCTTTTGTTCCAGAAAGTGATATTTGAAGAAAACTTCAAACTTAACAAAAATTACGAGCCGCAGTAGGGTTTTCAATTTAGAAAGTTCAATCACTACCTTTGGAGAATCTGTCCTGCTTAAAGTCATTTAGTTCCACTAGCCCCTTAAGTTTTACAACTGCAAATTCATTAAAGTGAAAGCAAGTGTTTCTGTCTCTCTGTGTATATGTATTAGTTTTCTGGACTTTGTGTTGCAATAGAAGATGACATGTTTAATTTAGACAAATGAGTGAAATAACAATATTCATTAATCAGTGAATTATTAACAGAGCTTGCAGAACCTGCCTGTGGTTCTATTAGTCTGATGTGGGCAGACTGATTGCTTGTTCTGTGGAGCAAGGCGAGCTAGGAGTACACTTGGAGAGAACAGGATTTCTGTTTAACTCACCATGGTCAAATGTGATTTGCTGTGCACAAATTAAGCGAGGTCTTAGTGGGGAGCTGTGAACATTATGAAACGTTTTCTGCTTCCAGCATTACAAAGTTCTCTCTCTGTGAGTATAATGACCTTAATTCCCAGTCCCAGATCACGCGAAATGAAATTCCTCAAGCCACGCTTGAAACTGGAAAGCGTGTGAGGTTGTGCTGGCTTCAGGAATGCTCCTAAATAGTCTGTAGGACAGCGGCATCTACTGTTAGCAGAGATTACAGGCAGAAATGCCATGGTGGGGCTTCCGTCCTGTTGCCAGTGCTTCAGGGGTCATATACTCACATTCTGCAGTTGTGAATTAATTCTGGTGARAATTGCCTGGTAAGTGGCTTAAAAGGGCTGTTTGCAATAGCCTCTAAAATACATCCTCTCCCTACATCTTTGGCTTCATATCACCTGAAGCCTGGTTGCATACAGAGGCATCTGACTTTAGATAGGAGATAAAGGGAAAAGAAGGGCCTTAGAAATTCTTGGTAGACAGAATTGAGCTGAAAAACCTCAAAGCACAGAGGCAGTATCTTTATTTTAAGGAAACAAACTTTATCCCTCCTTTTTAAAAATACTTCTCTGCTCTTGTGCAATTATTACTTTTACTCTGTGGCGAAGATAACTTGATCAAGGTACTTCATCTTCATTGGTTTTTTTTTTTAATGTGACAGTAAGAACTGGATTTTGTTTGTTATTGAAGAGATACAATAAAACACCACATAATTTAATACTTTAAATTTTATTGTCATTTTAGATGTAATTGTTAGCTGTCTTTACTTGGTTATAAAAGCAAGCTGATCAAAGATATTGTTAGATTTTGAGCAGTGTACTTTTAATGCTTTCAATAAACAAATGTGCTTGTAACTGGCAAGCTGGAAAAACTGGAATTGGTGAGTACTAAGATGTTAAATGTGTTTAAAAATAGCCATGCATTTCATCTAGCMTGACACTAACTAGTGGAGGCATTCTTGCTGAAGTTATATAATTCAATGTACCTACGGTAGGGAAGCACAAAGTCAGCATTTAATTTACCATCCTATTGCAGTCCTATTTAAAAAAAAAAATCTAAAACAAAAAACCAAAACAAARCAGCCCCCTATACCCAACCAAACAAAAAATAACTCACCAAATAAATTCAAACCTGACMAAGTCAATCAGATACCACTTTAATAAGTTGAATTGTAAGTGTGTTATATGAGATATAGAACAGTTGGAAAACTGTAAAGCTGTTTTCATGGACTTTAATGGATTCTTCTCTGGGACAATGAAACAATAGTCTTTGGTTTTGGTGCAAAAGCTCAAGTGTGCTCAGGAGCTTTTCAAATTTTTTCCATGATGTGCACCACAAGACTTCAAGTTGCAGTATCTAAGGCATTGCTAGTCATATTCCAAAAATATGTTTAAAGATTATTAAAAGAWAATTTCATAGGAAAAATGTGGCTAATGGGTTTTTCCCTCATGATTTTCAGGTATCTAGTATTTTACTGCCCAGAAGACATATTCTGCCAGTGCTTTTCCTTTCTGCCTCTTCGTCTTCTGGTGGCAGGAATGAAAGAAGTGACAAGGACTTGGAAAATCACAGATGGCATTGCACATGCAGCCATTGTCTACAAAGATGCCTGGCTTGTCATGGTAGCTGTGGGTTGGGCCAGAGGTAATGTTGATAACGTCTTGTTCTGAGGGTTTYGGGTTTTTTGGGGTGGTGTTAAAACATCTATTCCCTCAGCAGAACTGTAGCACCATCCTTGTTGTGCTGGGCATGGTTGTGCTGATGCAGTCTAATGTCCCCTCAAGGGAAAAAGCCTGTTCTGCSGTTTTTCTGCCTGGATTTAAGGTGACATTGAAGGATTTTGAGGGAAATTCTCTTCAGAAGGGATGGCAGATGTATCTGTTGCTGAACTCTCCAATAGTATTATTGTCTCAGAGCTGTGTCCTTGGACAAGGCTGGAGAGCTGGTTATCTTAGGTTTTTGGATGTAACCATTACCTTGTTTTAAACATGGGGATGACCCTTCTTGCCTGCCTGCTGTTGAGTGCAACTCTAGAAGCGGCCTTCCTGACATCTTTCTTTGCAGCCACACCACCAGGATCACTTCAGAAAGTAGTTGTGTAGCTCTTGTTTCTGCTTGACTCTGCACTTCTGTGAGAAGCAGCACATGTGATGTGATCAGTTCAGATGCTGTCACTTAAAGTCGACCTGAGGTTCTTGCTGGGTATCTCAACCTCTGATATTTTGTGGCCATTATTCAAGCCTTGTTTGCATGAAAGGTTAGATTAAGTCTTCTTAAGTCTGGGCTTTGGGTACCATGTTTAGCACTTGTGTCGTGAGGTTTTCTGTGAGCAATGGCACAGTAGTGGTAACAGTCAGTGGAAATTCACCATAAATCTGCAATTCTAGGTGCTGGTGGTGGCCTAATTTCCAACTTTGAGCAGCTGGTGAGAGGAGTGTGGAAACCTGAAACCAATGAGTTGCTGAAGATGTCCTAGTAAGTTGTTTTTTTTAAAACTGCAAAATGTTAGCTGTTGTTTTGCTAACTCATTGTGTTGATGCTCACTTTTAGTGGTTGGAGCCTCAAAAAAAAGGCAGTGGGGCAYGTTTGTACTTTGTTTTGGTGTATCCTGTGAAAGATGGGATGATGGTGTTTGGTACTTTTACCAGATGTTTTAATCATTTTCACAAGAGCATCAAATGGAAAGGCAAGTCAACGAAGCGTGTCAGAAAGCAGTATAGAGCTAGTGGGGAGTTGCTAGAAAGCAGTATTGACTCAGTTCTTACAGTGACATGGTCTTTTATTCAAAATGAAAGTACAGTGGTACCAGAAATAYACAGGTGAATTTTGATGTGTGTTCTGAGTATCACTAAGATGGCTTCCATTGAGCACTGTCACTCTTACTTTTGCTGCCAGTGCTATTTTCCTCCAAAGACGTCAATTATTTGAGAAGGTACAAATTGGTTATTCAGTATAGCAAAAATGACCTGCAAGATGGGAAAAGTTACTTCTCTTGCAGAAGCAAAGAATGGAAGTATTACATGCCTCCTGGTTTTCTCTGTAAAATGAGAATTGAAACAGGCTGGAAAGCCACAAGCTATTATTGTAAGTCAAGATAAGGTCACTGTGATAATTTCCTAAAATTCTTTTGATCTTTCCCAGGTTACAGTCAGGTCTTTAAAAATAATAATTTTATTTTTCTAAAAAGCCATCTTGCTTTTCTGCAGCCGCTTCTAGAATAACAGGAGAGACATTTGTAGCCTTCTCTTTGGCAGTATTTCAACCTTTTGTGGTTTGTGCTAGTTGTTGGCTTTTTCTGAAATTCTAAGTATTTAGAATTTCTCTTTTTCTTTTCAGTGATAGTGGCAGTCTTGAAAATGAACTTCCAGAAGGAAGAGGTGACTGTCAAAAATAGCACTATAGACCCAAATAAAACTGTCTTTATAGGTCCAACACCGGAGCAGTGCTTACTGATTAGAATCACTTGCATATATTCTCCTTCTCCACTGTGGAGATGGCTCAAAATAACTCAAAAATGTTTTAATGGTTTTGTTTATGTATACATCTTACGARCGTTAAATTGAACTACGTTACAAAGTTAAACGGATCAATTATGCTGCAAATGGATGAGGTGCCCGTGTACACAAGGTTGTTTTTTTCATCTTGAGCAGAAAGCAGTTAATCTCTTTGGCTACTGAAAAGACAGTGAACAATATGTCTACTGTAGGTGCTCCATAATAACACGAATATCACTGGTACACATCACATGCAGTAAGAAATGCACAGAATTATCCCAGTCAGGCCACTGTATAACTGACCAAAGATCCCTTGTTTTCTGGCTGCATACTAAGGAGGGTTTTAGTACCACAACAAAGATTGCTGTAAACTGTAATTAAATGGGAACTCTTTGCATGTCTCAAATCAGCAGTGCTATGTTGACAAAAACTGGTAACGCAGGCCTGGCTCCGGTCAGGTCTGAGCTGACTACAGTCATAGAGCTGCTGGAGGGTTACAGTGGACCAAGATTTGGCCTTTGTTGCTCTTAATCAACTTCTGGGAGTAACTAACTCCTGGAGTATAGTAGAGGAACATGTTTTTATGTCTACTCCAAGTAGTGTGAGCTCTATGATTTAATTCTTCAATAAGGTATATTGGGAGAGGAAGAAGAGTAGAAAGCTGATATATGAAGTCGGAATAGAAGCATTGCTTAAGGAGGAATTGTCAAACTGGAGTTTGCTGGGTGTGTATAGTAGTGCTGGACTTGATGCTTTKTGGACAGAAAGCATAGTAGTAGTATATAAAGTGAAAATCTTAATTTAGTTACAGCTAATACAGTTACAGCTGGATTTTGGATCTTACCACTGTTATCAGAAGTTTTCACTCATTCTGTTCAGAARTAATTCTTTTGCATGCTAAGAATACCTATTGCTTCCCATGCAGCTTCCACTGTAGAACAGAGAAGAGAAATTAACATTATTTGTTTGATTTCTAGCCCTGTGAAGGTAACTTTGATAGGATCAATTCTTTTCACCCTGCAACGCAGCCAGTACTTGCCAATAGCAAGACACAACCTTATGTTTTTATACACCATCTTTCTTGTTGTCTTCAAGGTAAGAATTTGAAAGTGTTGCTAGTAACCAAATAACAGATTTTTTTTTGTTAGAATGCATGCTTCTGGATGGGAAGACCAGCTTCTGCTGAAGTTAAATGTTTAGTCTTCTGTGCATGAGCAGAACAGAAGTTGTGTTTCTGATACTGTTCAAAATATGGGGGAGACAGGAGGGAGAAGAGCAAAAATCAGGAATTTCAGCACCCAATATTTCGTATATTCCAAGCTTGTATGTCTGTAATCTGAAACAAAGGTTATACTTGTAGGAAGGAACTCCTGTTCTCTGTCTCTTGCATGTATCTATGCAGTCACCAGTGTGTTTATAAAACAARCCAGCTGGATTCTCATCTGGCTTTAAGTGTTCACAAAGTAAGTGTTTGGGTGGGAAGGGAAAGAATACCAAAAGCACTTTGAAGTAGCTGTAACTATTTTGTAATAAAAGAGACACTACTTCTCCATTGAATTGTCCAGTCCCTCCRGTCTCATTCTTTTCCAGGATGATGCCTTTCTTCTGGATTTCTAGTTTATAAGAATACATAGTCTCTGTTAGCAGAAATCTGGCCATTTTAAGAGCTTCAGAGCTGCTGTTGAACAGGCCAGAGACTGTGTGAAAGTGGAGGCTGCCAGTCTCCTTTCTGTGAAGGAGCTGACAAGTTTAATTCTATAGGGAATTAAGGAGTTAAAGGTTACTTTAGGGAGCTGACTTCAACCTTTTTTCTTGATTCTCCATCTAAACTGATAAAGGTGTTGTTGAACTATGGGCGCTGGGAGTGGAGAAGGAAGGGAATGTTATTCTGGAAGTGAGAAATTACCGGTGTCCACAGAAGCTGTCTGTTGGGCTGCACTGAARTAACTAAATCCTTACACTGATGGATGTACTGACAGTTAGGAACTCCAGCACCCACACAACTAATAAAGTAATCAAACAACAGTGCATCTGGCATAGTCCTTTAACAGTGTCTTTTAGAAACTTGTCATGCCTCTGAAAATGGTAGAAACTGTTGCAATATAAACTTATCCTGCTCTGGGATCTAAAAACCAGTTTTTGCAATCATAATTCCAAGTTAGATGTCCTAAGGGATGCCCACCTTAATCTCTGAACTTTGTGGAATGAGTGTGGCTGGCTGGAATTCTAATTGAAGTCTGATAAGGTCCTTCAAATGTATGTTCCATTCTTTCAATTTAAATGGAAGGAAGCCACTCTGTTCACAATTTTTCAGTTTGAACAAGGCACAGAACTTACACATAAAAGTTGCTCTTCACCTTAGTTGTATGGCATTAAATTTTATTTACTCTTAGGATGATTAATCTTACAGAGTGCTCTTTTGTGCATGTTGTTTGTGTACAGTTCATAGAATCATAGAGTCATACAATGTTTAAGAGACTTTGAAGATCATTCAATTCCATCCTCCTGCCATGGGCAGTGGCATCTTCTGCTAGACCAGCTTTGTCATGGCTTTGTCAAACTTGGTCTTGAACATTGCCAGGGTTGGGGTATCTGCAACATCCCAGTATCTCACTACCCWCACAGTAAAGGATTTGTTCCTAGTATCCATCCTAAATTTTCCTTCTTTCAATTTGTACCCATTCTYCCTTGTCCTGTTGCTTCAGTTCCTAATGAAGAATTCCTCTGGCTTTCCTGTAGATCTTTCATAACTGTGTGAAGAGTGTTGGTGAGAAAGAAAAGCAYTTTTTGACCAATTCCAGCTAAAATGAGCAGACTTCAGGTGGCCTCATGCTTGTGTAGAAGTTTWAAATG